TTCTAGCTACTAGTAGTAGTGCCCTTGTCACTAGTAGCAATGCCCTTGTTACTAGTAGCTTCTAGCTACTAGTAGTAGTGCCCTTGTCACTAGTAGCAATGCCCTTATTACTAGTAGCTTCTAGCTACTAGTAGTAGTGCCCTGGTCACTAGTAGCAATGCCCTTTTTACTAGTAGCTTCTAGCTACTAGTAGTAGTGCCCTTGTCGGTAATAGCGATGCCCTTGTTACGTGCCCTTGTCGGTAATAGCAATGCCCTTTTTACTAGTAGCTTCTAGCTACTAGTAGTAGTGCCCTTGTCGGTAATAGCGATGCCCTTGTTACTAGTAGCTTCTAGCTACTAGCAGTAGTGCCCTGGTCACTAGTAGCAATGCCCTTTTTACTAGTAGCTTCTAGCTACTAGTAGTAGTGCCCTTGTCGGTAATAGCGATGCCCTTGTTACTAGTAGCTTCTAGCTACTAGTAGTAGTGCCCTTGTCGGTAATAGCGATGCCCTTGTTACTAGTAGCTTCTAGCTACTAGCAGTAGTGCCCTGGTCACTAGTAGCAATGCCCTTTTTACTAGTAGCTTCTAGCTACTAGTAGTAGTGCCCTTGTCGGTAATAGCGATGCCCTTGTTACTAGTAGCTTCTAGCTACTAGTAGTAGTGCCCTTGTCGGTAATAGCGATGCCCTTGTTACTAGTAGCTTCTAGCTACTAGCAGTAGTGCCCTGGTCACTAGTAGCAATGCCCTTTTTACTAGTAGCTTCTAGCTACTAGTAGTAGTGCCCTTGTCGGTAATAGCGATGCCCTTGTTACTAGTAGCTTCTAGCTACTAGTAGTAGTGCCCTTGTCGGTAATAGCGATGCCCTTGTTACTAGTAGCTTCTAGCTACTAGTAGTAGTGCCCTTGTTGGTAATAGCGATGCCCTTGTTACTAGTAGCTTCTAGCTACTAGTAGAAGTGCCCTGGTCACTAGAAGCGATGCCCTGGTTACTTTTAGCTTCTAGCTACTAGTAGTAGTGCCCTGGTCACTAGTAGCGATGCCCTTGTTACTAGTAGCTTCTAGCTACTAGTAGTAG